GGGCACAATACGATTCACATCTGGTGCACGAGAGAGAGCGGTGGCACTGCTGGAGAACAGCAATAAGTTGCAAAGTAATGTCACAGAAGGCTGTTAAAAGTGTTACAGAAATGTTTCAAGGTCCAACCTAGAAAGAAGAAACTTATTACCTAAAACTTTAAATACTGAAGCTTACTTTCTGCTTTGAACACCTACCGTCTGGTTGACTGTCACTGAAAAAAATCTGCCACCAAATGACTAAAGAAGGAAGAGTCTACAGCCATGTTAGTTTGTTGGCTTTGTGAGGCTGCCTCTAGGCACAGCGGTGCATACTATCACCATGATAACATGCTCACAATGACAATGCTAACAAGCTAATGTTTAGCACATTGACATTCACCGGACAGCTTCTGGGTCTGTGAAGTGAAGCCAACGTGAAGTGTCTTAAACCTGCATTCTGTGTAACTGCCAGCAGGGGCCAGCTCCATTGGCTGCAATAACACACTGATACCATGCAGTCTTATGGAGAAATTAGAAATATCTCACTTGATTTGTTAAATCAGTTCCCTAATGATTTTATAGTCTCAATAAAAGGTACGTACACCTTCTTAGTTTTGCATGTTAGCATTTTAACATTTGCTAATTAGCATTAAACACAAAGTACAGAGAGGCTGAGGGGAATATCATTAGTTTGGTAGGTATTTAGTCACCAAAATAAAGGTATAACACTATTAATAAAAACAATGTACATATGTTTTTGACATGATAATAACACCAGAAAAACAAAGGGGATAACTTAAGTTATTACTATTCATTCAAGAATCTGTACCTAATGTTATGGTAATCCATCTAATAGCTGTCAGGACATTTCACTCACAACTCAAACATCACAAATGTAAACATCATGGTAGGGAAGAGGGAAAGTCAGGGGATCACAGAGCATTCTGGGAAACGTACATATTTAAAGAATTTCACAGCAATCCATCCTGATGTCTGTTGGGATTTTTCAGTGAGGACCAAATTACTGGACCGGACGAATCCTTGCAGCCTTGTTGACCAGTTCCTCTTGGTAAGAGAGGGTTGATCTCAGAGGGACTGACCTGGATAATGAATGTTAAATGAACCAGTTCCTGACATATTCTGCTATACTAGATCCTGGGACTTATCCCACAATAAAATACTGCACTGGAACACATTGTAAAGTATAGTGTTCTGTCCATCTGACAAAGCCAGTAACATGCTCAAAAAGAACTTTAATATGTAGTGTAAATGCTTTTGGACCTAGTGTACTGCCAGTGAGGAAATTGAACAGTCATGAAAGTAAGAGGAAGGAGGAATGACTGAGCCTGGACTCTGTCACAGATATCCCTCCAGACTGTTTAGTTGACTCACTGGATGACGCAGGCTCAGCATAGTTCTGCTTTACTTCCTGGAAGTGGAGCGCCGGGGTTGCCTTGAAATTACTAAGACAACCATCATCATACTCCCAGTCATGGAAACGGTGAAAACACACGCTGACTCCTCACAGCCGTCTGCATCGTGCACCAAATAACGTGAAACATCTGGAGCTTATTTTCAAATAAAGCTTATTTAGAAAATGTGGTGGGTTACTTTGGCACCGTGACTTTCTATAAATATTTAGCTGTTATGAGCGTTCCGAAAAAGATGTTTTAAGAGGGAAGGGTTTTTGAATGTGCCAGCATTGCAGGTGCTTTGAAACAGACTCCAAAGTTTCAAACTCACTGATGACAGACTATAAGAGGTCACCGAATACAGCTAGAACTGTTCAAATAGCTGTATAAAATTACAGAAACACATTGTCAGAATCATACCAAGATAAATATCTTAACTGACATTGTTTCACTGAGGAAAATAAAATGCCCTTGAGATAATTGGAAATGGTTACTAGATTTATTTTCTTGTATTCATCACTTTAGAAACAACAATAGATTTAGCATGGGAGCTCTCCCTCCTAGAATGTCTTTACAGTTGCTTGAGTGAGTTTTGTCATAGTGTTTCCCCTCCACTTAGCACATAATGAGACACAGCTTGCTTTGCATCTCGTCTGTCCGACTCCTCGTGCCAAACTGTGTCAACAAGTTTGTCAGACAAGCAGAGAAAAGACAACTGAATGCTGCATGGCGACCGAGGGCCTGTTATCCACTGCAGGACTCTTTTTATCCACTGCACGACTCCAGGGATGGCGGTGTCGGTCGTTTGGTCCAGGCTCAAATATCTCAGTGGTGTTTGGATGGACTGCCATGATATTTTGCACATTGATGGTTCGCAGAGGATGAAGTGTTCAATATAGGATCGTGCCATCGACAGGTCAAAGTTTAAATGGGCTGCATTAAGATAGTTCTTCTCTAGTTCACCAACAGCTCAAAGCACTTTACAACAAATACCAACATCTACACATTTCATACACTGGCATACATGGCAGAGGCTTCCTTGCAAGATGCCAATCAAGATGCCTCATCAGGAGCAAAACATCGCTTCCTAATCAAAGTACGCCACAATGACTCTATGCTCACCAATTCACACACAATCGTACACAATCCAAAATTCATCCAAACTTCTTGGCTCATCTGCCAAGGGCAGGTGAACTGAGAAAAATTACCAGCCAAAAATAGTTTCTACTGGCCATAAAACTGCATCAAAGTTTAGAGTTTCATGAGGCTACTGTGTCGCATCATCAAACCACCAATTATGTCCCAAATTTGTCCAATACTTTGGTTTATGAACAAATACCTGCAAAGCTAAAGACATTCCCATCAGCCGCAGCCCTGTGCTAATTAACAAATGTTAGACTGCTAACATGCTAAAGTAATGGTGAACATTGCACCTGCACATGGTAGCATTGTTATTGTATTATTTTACAGTTTAAATATATTATTGCTATATATGTTAGCATGCTGACATTAGCATTTAGCTCAAAGCACCACCTACGTACAGCCTCACAGAGCCAATAGCTTGGCTGTAGTCTCTGTAGAGTTTCTTGTTAAGCTAGCAGCAGTAAACATGCTCAGGGAAAACTGAGTTGTTGCTTTTGTTGCAGAGTGAAAATTAAAAAACTTGCACAGTATGTGAATATTTTGAACATGTAGCAATCTTTTCTGTGAGTCTGCAGCACCAATAGAAGTAAGAAATCGAAACAAGAGCTGTGAAAAGACATTTCTGATCGATGTAAAACCTAACTCTCATTTAAGAAAATAAAAATGCAAGTGTTGAACTGGGATTTGTCTTCCACACTTGTGCAATTGTACATCGGAGGCATCCTGTTTATGTGGCCACGGTTGCTCCGGGGGGATTGGCTCAGGCCGCATCTCGGTGCTGCAACCCAACAGCTGGGAATGGCCTCTCAGTCTGACAAGACATGCCGTTCCTATGACAAATACCCGTAGAGCAGCAGTAACATGTGTCTCCCACCCCTGCGAGTCAAACCCCCCCCCCCCACTATCCCATCCCATCCCACCCCCCCCACACAAAGCTGCACAGTGTACTTAATGAATAGCACACTTGGGGCTGCAGGGGTTTTTGCCGGAACAGTGAGGGGGGGGAAAAACGGCCCCCAGTGACCTCTGAGGGCCATCTGAGATAATAAATCCATGACCCTGAGTTCCGGAGTGCTTTGGGCAAGGTCGGGGTGGCAAATTTCCCACTTCCACAATATCAGATGTTAACGGTAATTCGTTTTAGCCAATGTGTAATGGCGCAGGAATGTCTTCTCCCCAGCCTCATCTAGGGCTGGTGGAATCTGTTGAAAATGTGTGACAGCTGTGAAAGTTGGCCAGCCCCGGCCTGTGAATGTATAAGATTTGGATGTGATTCAGGACTGAGGGGTGAGATGCAGTGCGGTGGAGAGGGGGACTTGTGTTGTTGTGGTGAAGTTCGCTTGCTTGCTCCTCTTCTGTCAGTGGTCTGCTCCTCCTCTACTTCTACTGCCCTATGCTCTGGTGTAACTCCACTCTCAATGTTTTCTCCTCTTTTTTTTTGTCCAAGTACACGGAGGAGGGGCCAAGTAGAACTTTCCCATACAGTGAGAAGGAGGAGTGACTGAATGAAGGCAATCAGTTTGGGAATATTTCATGTATGTTCTAAATAGTTTGATTGACTACTTAAATTGTCCATTCCTACTTACTAAATATTTGAAGAGTTCTGTAACTGAAAAAGTAGTATCTGTAGTATCTGTATTTGTCATGTATTATTGGATGTGTGTTTGTGTTTTAAGATGCACAGCATCTTATGAAACTGGCTCCTTAGAAACTCAAAAGCTAACTCATTCACCATTTGCAAGCTCCACAACAGAGTGTGAGGTGACTGTCAGACTAATTTTATACATGCTAACCTGCCAAACCCTCAGGAACAGCAATGGCATAGTGGCCACACTCACTATAGTGCAGCATTGCTAGCTGAGATATAGACCTACTGTGTATATTTTTAAAGTTTTCTTACACTTCCTTAAAATCAAGAAGGTCTCACGACACCCCGTGAAGCTTTGGCGACCCCTAGTGGTTCCGACCCCCAGGTTGGGAACCACTGCCCTAGTGGATATAACAGTTTTTTGTCGCTGTAAAAGACTAAATAAATGTCCTCTACTGTTCTAAACTGTTACTGGTGTTATTTTGGCACTAGTTGGACTGATCAGAGTCAGACGAGAATAGTACACAATCTTTATTTGATAGTTGCACTGGGCCATAAGTAGGTTAAAAATAAAATTTGCGCTATTGAGCAAAATGTTCTACTCCAATATCATCATTCTGAATTAAACCAATATCGAAGTGACTATAATAGCAGGTCTACAATTGATTTGGGTGCGTGTGTCCTGAAGCAACGTCTTTTATCTCGTAGATTGATGGCATTGAGAGGCTCTGGGCAACATGTCAGATGTCACCTTGCATAGCAGAAATTAAAATGCTTTTCCAGTTGCTGCAATTTCTCAAGCTCCTCAAGAGACAGCTGTTGCCATCTGCACATTTGGAATAAGGAAAAGCTTGTGGAGGAAAAAGGGGGAGGAGATGTTTTGCTGGATCTTCGCAGATTCCACGGCGATTAGGAGCACCTTCTCTTCACGTAATGCCTTTGAAAGAGAGGTTGAGGATTATTAATTGGATTAAATGGAGCCAGTGACATATATTGCACTTCTCACCAGTACAGAGCGTGTAATCTGGTCATTTACCGACTTTCTTTTTCTAAGATGTCCCAAAAGAACTTCAGAGTTGACACCAATAAATTCCTCTCAGATCACCTATTGGTTAAACAATGTGGCCCAGACTGTGATATATATATATATATATATATATATATATATATATATATATATATATATATATATATATATATATGTTATATTTTTTTTTATTTGTGTAGTTTAAGTTTGTGGCCATCATTCATCATGTTATATTTTTTTTATTTGTGTAGTTTAAGTTTGTGGCTATCATTGCTCTTATAGTTTATCCACTTCTGTTTCTGCTATAAATATAACACACATCACTGACTGCTTCTGGGGCCTATAAAAAGCTCACTATGACACTGGAAGGACATGTTGTGAGAGAGGTATTATACATTAAATTACAAGAGGTGTTAGTAAAAGTCAGAGTTCCAATGAAGAAAAAGATCGACTCCAAAGGATGCATTTAATACTAATATTTCAACCAAAACTTGTCATTGTGAAGATGTTTTTTTTTTTTTTAAACATTTATTATAGAATGGCTGACAATGGCTGACTTTGCACAAACATATTTACCATACCCTCAATGGCCACTTAACAATCAGTGGACACTTATACAATCTAAATCAATTCAACACAACAGTTCAGCCATAAATTCTACATTTATGAACATCCAGTTTCCATAGTTAAAGGTGGTGTTGAACTTAACGACATTAGATTGAGAGGTGTTTCTAGTTTTTTGTCCTTCCAAGGACAGACCACTAGCCAACCACTAACAATGGGCTCAATGCTAAAATTGAATTAATAACTCTATGACAGCATAAAAAAACCAGCAAATAAAAAATGCAGCAGAAAGAATCATAAAGGGGATTGTGGCCTTGTGGCTACAGAGTGTGTGACATGGGAGGTAACACCACCACATCTGACGTATGTCTGTAAACGTTTCTGTGTGGTATCTGTGCAGTAACGTTCAGAGCTCACCAGAAGCACATTTCATTAACGTTACTGTGTTGAACGTTAGCTAAGTTAGTGGCTCAAAGAGGCTAATTCTCCGGTGTCTGTGGTGGTGGAGGGTCAGGTGTACGTAGCAGGCCACAGTCTGTAGAGTCTAGAGGGGGCAGGGATTGAGGGGGGACAAAAGCTGCCACCACATACATCAACAGCCCCCGAAATTCAATTGCAATAACCAAGATTCAACCAGCAGAGTAGCACAATATGTAGAATTTGGACATGAATCAATCAACAACACTAGTAAATACCCATATACGAGCAGTGTTTGGGGGGTTTAGTTACTAAGTTAGATTGTAGGCTACAGGTGTAACTAATAAAGTTTTTCACTGAGTTTATTTTATGTTTCTTTTTTTACTTGTGACCCAAGTCAAAGTCTGATTTCCGTCACCTTTTCTTTTTTTTGGCCTTAGAAATGCTGCTGAATATACACAGTCTTAGATGCATTGGGAAGCTATAGGTTCATGGTTCACACATAGACACCAAATATTTTTATAATATCTACTTTTGTTCCTTCTCGTCCTCTTCATGTAAATGGAATAAGCCAACCACAACAATTGTCAATGGAGCTGTGGGACGTAGCACTGGCGCGGCACTCTGCCCACCCTGCCCCACTGTCGTAATCAGCCCAAGAGGCAGGATGGGGGGGGGGCATGGCAGCAGATAGTATTTCTCCTTGGCCAAAAGGCGCTGCCCAGACAGAGAGCTCTTTGTTGCCCCCCTCTAAGAACGGCTTTCACTTTGCAATTGTGGAGGTAATTCCAGAGCTGTGCCCCACAACTTTTTTTTTCTCCCCCCCCCCCCGCCCTGCCAAAATCGTGACCTGCAATCGGAAAGACCTTTCAGCCATGGTCGCCTGGTCGTCAGTTCTCAGTGAGTGCACAGCACAATGATAGCATTACATTTCTAAACAAAGAGAATGAAATTTCAACATAGGGGGGACCAGGGTGTTAAATGCAGGTTCAGTTGCCAGATTAAACAACAGACACCTGTTTGATTACTCAAGGGGAGATTAGATAAAAAAAACTCACTCACAAATCCAACCTGCAGTCTGAGCAAATTATCACAAACATGTTGAGGCCCCGCTGCAGGATGAACATCAAGATGTCAATTCTCCAGCACTTTAAAAATGAAATAATCAACACATCGCTATTTCCTGTGATAAGGGTACAACAGGCCCAAAGGTGATAAGTCGAGTTCTATATGAAGCTGCACTACTAAAGGTAATATTTCATCCCCACTGCATGAGGAGCCCTATGTTCAGTTCTGTTTATACAAGTAAAGTACAGATTTCTGGTATAGACTGAGGAAAAAGAAAGAAAAACAGTACATACAGCACAATCGAAAAGTGTCTTTTAGGGGGCAGCAAAAGTGCACTTCATCAAAAGAAGGATAAACTCGGTAACTATCTCAATAATTCACCTCAAAACACCCCAAACACCATCATTTAAGTCTGAAGGCTGCAGTTTGCCTTGTTGCATTATATCTGGGTCCAAAAAAGTCCAAATTAACCCTTGCTATCATTGTGCCAGGTGCTGTATGTGTAATGTTAACTGGTGCAGCTTGAAATGCAAAGTTTGGGTAGTTAACCGATTTTAGGAGGCTCAGTCAAACTGACTTTGTGCCATGAGACTCACATTAAAGGTGACCACGCCAAAGAGTTCAAAGATATTTGTCCATGAGCCAAGGAAAGTTAAAATATTATTTCAAAATTAATGAAAAATATATTTAATTTAAATAAACGTATGTATTAAACTCTCAAATATGTATGGTTTTGTGTAGTATAAACTCAGACAAGAATGATGAAAAATAAAAAGTGAGCCACATATTGACACTTTTTGGTTAAATCTGATTGGAGATAGTATATTCTTATGTATTTCTGTATTTTTAAATCTGATTGGAGATAGTATATTCTTATGTATTTCTGTATTTTTAAATCAATTGGAGATAGTATATTCTTATGTATTTCTGTATTTTCCCTTTCTGTTTGGTATTTTATTAGTTGTGTGTGTTGTTAGGTTATTGTGTAATGTGTTGAATGTGGTGTTTCTATTTCTATTTAACTGACAATTACAGGATCACACAAACTGAAAAAGGTTAAAAGGTTATATGTGGAGATTTAAAACATGAAAATACCAGCAAACAACTATTTTCTATGTAAAGATGTAGTGGAGTCATGGCGTCCTGAGCAGAGAATGACGTCACCCCATGTTGCTACTGCACCCTCTCTGTGGTTTGTCTACATCGCCGGTCTGCTCCATGTGCAGCCGAGTAGAGCGACTGCTGTTTTTCTCATCTACATTGGTAAAACCAGTGTTGGTGATTGTTGGAACAGTGGACAGACTAACAAAAACCGTTTTGGTGAGTTCCATTTAGTTTCTGGCCAGAATTACCGTTTTTGTCTATGGAGTCTGGTAGTAAGTGATATTACAGCTGTGTCTGGTCAAACATAAGGTCTATCTCAGTAGGGATGCTCTCCTTAATCTTGTCAGACACTTAGAATAACAATCTCTCAGTGGCGAAAACAAGCACTTTTAGTCGACGTACTTTGACAGGCGCAAAGGATTAGTAATAGCTTACGTTGCAGCCATTGCAGACCCTTTCACATTGTAACTCAGCAAATTAAGGGTTTATTGGCCCTTGTCAGAGTCGCTCAAACCCTGCTTGTAACGCATCAACTTTGAGGACAAAATGTTCCCTTGCTGCCTGATATATCCCACCCACTGACAGGTACCATGAAAACCAGATAATCAGTGTTATTCACTTGACTAGTCAGTGCTCATAATCTTATGGCTAATCTGTGTATATAACCTTTAACAAAATGGTTTTAACTGGAGGTCCACATAGTAGCTCACCCCAACTGGTCGAGGCAGACGACCACCCACCTAGAGCCGAAGGATCTGTCCTAGGTTTCTGCCTTTTAACAGGCAGTTTTTCCTTGCCCTTGTCGCCTAGTGCTTGCTCATGGTGGTACTGTTGGGTCTCTGTAAATAATGTTATAAGGAGTTCGGTCTAGACCTGCTCTATTTGAAAAGCTGTTATGAATTGGCGCTATACAAATAACAGTGAATTGAACTTTTTGTGCAGCACTTTGGAAACCCTGTGTTTGTTAAAATCGTGCTATATAAATAAAGTGGATTGGATTAGATAGTATCTCTTTCTAGCGATTTAAACTGCATCTCACAGTCTTCATATGTGGATGGAGTTTGCTCAGTTTGTGGGGTTTGTAGACCTTGTGATATTTCTATTTTGTGTTGAATGTAAACAGTTATCACTATTATTATTATTATTGATCAATGTTCCATTCTTAGGAACTGAGTAAACTCTGATGTTTTGAAAGCTTTGAAATGTCAAAAATTGTTACATTAATAAATATTTAAAACATTGTGCAAAGACAAAGGCACCTGGTGCTACAGAAAGATAAGGACAAAGTACAATACATTTATACTGCCATATTGTTCACAACCGTTACAAATGCATACACACAACAGAACAAACACTTGAGGATGTGAAAAGAAACAATATTCGCTTTCTAACTGTAAATGGGGCTGTACGAGTTTCAAGAACCATACAGGAAATTAGAGGAGCGATGAGACAAGGTGGTGGACTGGGAAGAAACAGGACCAACCAAAACTCCCACCACCCTTACCCCCCCTGCTAGCCACTCCCTTGCACTTTGCCTAGGTGTATTCCTCTCCTTCCAATTGAGGATGCATTCCTGGCACACCACACCCAAGATCATTGTAATGAAAATTCCTGTGCCTGTGCCAAAAGGATCCAGTTGCCGCTAATCCTTTTTGCGGAGCATCACCTGATCCTGAGGCCGGCGGAGGTTAGGACTGCGGCCTTGCCAATGGTTGGAGGTGCTTGAAACATGGACAGAGTGTGTGTTGGGTTGGGGG